AACTACTTTCTAAAGGGACTAAATAGGTAAACTACTCCATGTTTATATCTAGTTTCACTTTCAGTTTGACAGAGGAATCCCCTCAAACCCCTGACAGCTGAACTTTTATTTAACTAACCACTATGTATTAATCACTCCATATGAGGCTGCAGTTGGTAGAAAAGCTGGTAAATTAAACAACAGCTTCATTCGGTCTTAAATCAACAAACCAAACAGAAGCTTTCAGATCAGTTGGCGGTGCCGGTGGCTTTATCGTTCGTCCTGTGTGGCATTTTTAGGTTTATCTACGCAGTCGGGAGGCTCAGATAAACAGATAAACACAAGCTGGGACGTCCTCAGAACTAAACTGTAGAAGCTTTAAAGAGTGTTTTCTAACTTTCTAACATCCCCGTAGTGTCATAAGGATCAGCGCATTTAGTGACGGTTTATAAAACAGAACCTCAATCGGGTGTGAAAGTCCAATGAAAAGAACTTTCTGTTCATGTTTGTGACCAAGTTATTTAAATCAAGACGTATCAGATATGTTTAGTTTAGTGTCACTGTGGCGCCATGTGGTTCAGAAAACATCACGAGTCGACTTCTGCGTTATCAGTGTTTCTGTCAATATGTGATAAAAGAGTTCAGTTTTTATCTTTGATAGTTCCTCAGATTTTGTCGTTCAAACAGCCTCAAATTTCAACGCGTCAAGAAAAAGCTGCTGAAAGTCAAAATGTCAAAATAATTACCTCAGAAAGTGTTTAACACATGAAGGTAGATCTTCACAGAAATCTAATAAACATTATTGTTTAATGATTTAAACATTTCAGTTAAATCAGAGCAGAAATGTGATGGTTGGAGATAAAATGACTCGTAAAGACTTTTATTTTGTAGCATTCATGTTGTGAATGAATCTCACTTGTAGTTCAGCTTTGATGAAGGAAGTTTACTTTTGTGGATTAAATCAACTTCTAATTGCATCTTGTCCCTTTTATTCTAAGGTTTAATACTCCACTGTGCAGCTGATGTCCTTGTTTTAAAGTTTTTCTGCCACGACTCCACCACAATAAAGACGAGAGAGTTTTTTCTATTTTACTTTCAGATCAAGCGAATCGTCAAGTTGGAAAAATTGGAAACTTCAAGTCGACTTTTCTTGAAATGAAGCCGCAGAAACGCTGCATCTGAGATGGATTCAATGGTTTAAGTAGATTTAACTCAAACCAGCGACATTAGTGTCACTTGTTAACTTAATTCGGATGATTTCAATTCAAGTGCGAGTTGAAATAATTCATTTAATTCTCTTTTTTTTTCAGTGAACTCTTCGTCTCTTGTGAGGATCCTCATGAGAACCACCTTCATCGCAGCGTTTTTGTTGCTGCACTTGAAGAAACTTTGAAGCAAACTTCTGGATTTACTGACCTTTAAGTCTTCAGATAACGACCGACTGTTGTTTGTCTTTCCTGTTTAGCGAAACCACTTCAGCTGATGGTCTGAAACTAACTAAGAGAGAAGAAACATCCCACCAGGTGCCTTTAAACAAGGTTCACCTGTTCAATGAAACCGTTCCAGGTGTCGACTTCAGGAAGCTCGTCAAGACCAACGGCGACAGCGTTTAATAATCTAAGACACGCGGCAGGTTTTAAATGTGTCCCTGGTACTAAAAACTTTACCAGAGATACTTCTCCAGTTGGTTATTTTTTTTATTTTACAAGTTTTTCTAAGTTTAAATATTCAAATGAAGCCTTTTAATATCTAAAAACTCCCTAATTTGCATATATTTCCAGAATAGAAACGTAAACACTGAGCCTCTGTTGATGTATTAGAGTCAAAGAGAGGATTTTTGCTTTTATTGCTCCATAAATCAGAAAGAAATCAGAAGAAAATACAAAATAAATCTACGTTTTTAGCATGTTTTGAGGCATAACTGTATGTAAGTGGAGATTTTCTGGCTGAGAGTCGGAGACAAACCTCGTTCTGTTATAATAAACATCTGCAGATGAAAAAGAGACGATGTGCCGTAAAATCAACACTGAACTGTTTATTTTGGACGTTTTCTTTCTGTTAGTCTGAAAGAAAACACGCTGGGAAAGTAAAATATAGAAAAACTTCTCCAAAGATTGACCACTGCATTAAAAAAAAAAATCTTATTCATAGAGACTATTTTAATTTTTAATTTTTATTTTTAAGGCGACATCTTTAATCCACTGTTTTGAGAACTTGAGAAGTTCTGCTTAGAAAACATTCAAAAATACTAATTTGTGTGTTAATTTCACTGCATATTGTTGTTATATATTGTTATTGTTATTCGTCTGTAGGTTTGAACTGTAATACATTATTTTTTAGCCGCTTTAAAAAACAAAAGTGAAGAAAAAAAACATCCAAAATGCACATTTAAGTGTTGATTTTTCTGCACTTTGTCTGTAGAACTCTGTTAGTTTGACTTTAGTTGAAGACACCAACGGTTTATTCTCATCTGAGGGTTTCACAGATGAGCTTTTTGACTCACAGCCTGATTTATTGAACATTTTATGCTTTAGAACAAGGCAAAGATGGATTTTTTTCCGGCTTTCGACAGTATTTTTTTAAATTTATGGTGCAATAAAATCTTTTAAAGCTGGTTTTACCCAATGTTCAGTTTCCACTTCTGCAAATTAGGGACGTTTTAATTGCATAATGCCTCATTTGTGGATTTTAGAAAACTTTTCACACTAAAAACAACAGTTTAAATAGAAGTTCTCTGTGCTTTAACCTTATCACCTGTATTGTCTTTGAGTAAAAAGAGGAAACTGAGCCTTGACACTAGAATATGCGCCATAAGCTGCTTACAGCTGTGAATGGTTGGACAAGAACCAAAGAAAACAGAACCTGCTTTACAGCGACACTAATAAAGCAGCGAACCGCGGAGCAGCGTCGTTATTACAAACTCGCTTCTTGTTGTTGTTCCCGTGCAGCCATTGTGTCGAGGTTTTACTGGCTGCAGTAAAGTTTGTCGGGAAAGTCTCGTGCACATCCAACCAGGGACGACTCGGAGGCGGCGGTTTGGTTTCAGCCTTTATTCTGACAGAACATCACCCCAATGGGGATTTACATGAGTCGGTTACAGAGTAGGAGCTCGCCGAGTGGGCGAGACAGAACAGCTTCACAAACGCAGTTAATGGCAATCGACATGCATAATAGTACAAAACCAAATACATAGGAGGGAAAATACAGTATAGAAGTCACTATCTACGGTACAACATGAACCTAACAGCTGTCCAGGTGGTGTGTGACTAACGCAGCGTGGAAATGAAAAAAAACCACAAAAAACAAAAAAACCAAAAGGTGTTGAGATGATCGAGGTTGTGCCGTCCATCAAATATCGTGTTTGTCCGACGCTCGGGAACAGAATCAGCGCCTCGGCGGTGGAAGTCTAGATTTATATTCGTGTTCTGCAAAATTAAAGTTGAATTTTTTTTCTTTTTTTTTCTTTTTTTTAACTTTTAAAAATTGCTAACTTCGGATAAAGTCGTCCACTCGACGGCGAACAACTCTGGTAAAAAATAAAAAGTGTAAATGTACAAATTATGATTAGACTTTACAGTACAAGAGTATAATACAGGTAGAAATCACAATCACACGTATAAAAAGGTGCATGCGTCCTCTCTGGAGAGTCAGCGCGGCGACGTTCGCGCTGTGTGCTTTGGAGAGAAGTCAGAATCGTGGGTTGAAGTTTGGCCACGCCGTGAGGTATCTGAGCAGAGCGTGCACATGTGACCCTGTCCAGCAGATGGAACCAGTTTCCAGTGACGTCAGAGGCAACAACACGGCGGCGGAAGGCTTTTCTGACTGTTGATGCGCAGCTCGCCGGCTCGGTACGACGAGACCGGAGTCTGACGGGTAGAACGGGGGAACAGAACCTGTACTGTCGTGAAGCTTGAACGTGAATTCTCAGAATCGTAGCTGCAAACATGTTTCACCACCTCAGAGGAAAAGAGTGATCCCGCTGTAAGCTACAGCTCTGCATTCAGTATAAACAACAACAACTATACAGTACAAAACTACAAACCAAGGCGCACGTCTCAGACGGAGAAGGAAGAAACGAGGAGGAGGAGGAGGAGGGAGGAAGATGTTCAGGGTTCTATCAACACTTTGGTGTCTCTGCTGCTGCTTTTACAGCAGAACGGCTCGAACCAAATGAAACACGACGTCCTGGACGTTTGAAAGCCTGAAGCAGGGTCACACCCATCCCGGGGTTTCCTGGAGCTTCACTATGGCTGCTTTCAGACTGTATGTTTCTAAACAAACCTAAAACGGTGACTCTGCTGCTGTTTCTGAGCCTCTCTCTGCACACGGACTCACTAATGAAAAAGCTAAAGCTCCTGCCAGGCGTCTCTTCCTGCTGAGCAGTCTGGGGATCAAACGATTGCACATTTCGATTGAACTAAAGCACATTGGTGTAGAAGCTCTTTGTCGTTCTCTAGAAGATAAGAACTAACTAGAAAGACGAGAAGCTGATGGACTAGAGGGAGGACGTTCACATCAACGCTCTCTCACTGACGGAACCGTGCAGAACCTGCACTCGTTCTTTGTTCTTTGGGAAGCGGTTCTTTGTTTTGGTGTTTGCTGCAGATCATTTGCATAGTTTCAGGTTAAGGGAGAAGCTCGCAGCGACGGGTCGGTTACCAGTGAGGGCGACGCAGGCGGGTCGCTGCTGTCCTGGTTCTGACACGACGTCTCTTTGGAAAAGCAAAATGAAACCTCATGAAGGCACGTTTGGTGTGAATTTTGAATCTTATGAATGGTTCCTTTGGGATGAAGTCAGTCCTCTGACTGGACACACAGTGTGGTTATCGGGACATCTGGACTCGTCTGTTCTGGACTGAGGAGAACCTAAGTGACCAGGAGTTGGACCACTTAGAGCAGAAATCTATTTTTGTCATGTTAAAACTGAATTCTAATGTTTTTGGCTTCGTATTAGTGACGTATACATGACGCAGCACAAACACTTTATTCTGGGTCTGTGTGTGATGATCTGGGCTGAACAGAACCTATCTGGAGCCCGGGTTGTTCGGTTTTCTCTGTGGAGGACGATGAGCAGCTCCTGCCAGAGCTGTGATCGTCGCCATAAATGCACTGATACAGAATCTGTACACGAGTCCGGCCTCTGCGCTGCCCCCCTCTATGAACTCCTGCACACTTGCAAACAAACATGTCCGCCTCCAGCCGGCGCCGTCGTCTCCTCCTGCCTGCAGCCTCCTCAGCAGCTGGTGGTGTCCAGGAGCTGCTTGGCCTGGGAGGCCTCCTCGGCGCCGGCGTTGGTCCGCTTGACGTCGTCCTCTCTGGCCGTCGGCCTCTGCTTGCGTTTGATCTTAAACACGTCCCACTTCTCGGACAGCAGGCCCTTGTTGAAGATGATGGACGTGAGCCAGGAGAAGAGCAGGATGGACAGAAGGGAGATGACCATGATGGCGGTGCGGAAGGGGAAGAACTGGGTGAGCTTCCCCTCCTCGTCCAGCCGGCAGCCGGGGAACTGGATGGCGGGCGGCAGGTTGATGAGCGGCTCCCCGCTCAGGATCCTCATGAGGATCCCCATCAGGTAGCCCACGGTGGCGCCGTAGCCGTTGGACACCTTGAAGAAGAGGATGCAGACCAGCTGGGGGAACATGATGGTGTAGGACATGTCCACGCCCACCAGCCAGAACACCAGCACGCTGCTGTCCAGGAAGGTGAGGGCGGTGCCGGCCAGGCCCACCACCACCACCGAGATCCGGATCACCCACTGCATCTCCCGGTCCGACGCCTGAGGAGCAGCAGAAACACAAGGCTCACGTTACACCTTGTTACACAACTCGTCGTCTCGGGGCCTCGTGGGTCAAGAGATCCGCTTACAGAGATCAGAACCCATCAGAGACCTGCAGTGACCCGGCTCATTGTATGGAGCATTCCTCTGGGGGTCGGTGGGCGACACAGTGAAACACATCTTTGTCTTAAGAGAGCAAACATGACAACATATGAAGCCGGGGGCTTTCTGTACGCGATGTTCAGGACGGTGCAGTCAATGGCTGCTCTGTCGCTGCCTCCTGTCCACGTCGTCAGCGTCCCGTACAGTGACCGTCCTGTAATTTATAAATGTCTGGCGGCTGCCTACACAGGACTGTTAACGAGGCGCGCAGTGCTGGTGAAATATTCATGGGAGATAACGACACTTCAGACATTCCATCACATGGAATCTGTAATTCGGTCGACTGGTGAGAAACAACACGGAGAACCCACACCAGGGTCTGTGTGGAGCAGCACAGACACAGCTGACCTGATCCTGTTGACATGTTCAGCGCCTTAGCCTGGCTAGTTAGCATGCTAACGCTCGCTGTTTACAAATAGAAACCGGTCGAGTCCTTGAGTCTCATTCTGTTGGAGGTCGATAAGAGCTGCGTTGAGTTTCTCTCTATGATATAATATAACATAATATAATATAATATAATATATTCATGAGTCCATAGCTCCGCCCATGACGATTGTGATTGGTCTAACGAGCTCGAGCCTGTTTCTTCTCCAATAGCAGGATGATAACGAGCTACAGCAGACCATTCTTTATGAGCAGTAGTGACTGGTCTGACTGTGTGAGAGGAGGGGAGCTCTAATGCTATCAGGGTTCATCCTCTGGGGATCGTGAATGTTCCGGCTGGAAGCCCGTCTGGTTCTGTCCCGTTATTATACGACTACATGAAGCTGCTTCAGAGCATCACAAGAGATTTTACAACGTTTTTCACACGCAGAGTAAACTGATCTCTTCTCTGAATGTGATAAACAGCCGACAGGAGGTCGTTGTGTCGTACGTGTCGCTGCTTAGAGTCTCACCTGCTTCCTGATGATGTTCTTGTAGATGTTGGAGGAGAACAGTGAGGCGGAGGACAGCAGGGCCGAGTCCATGGAGGACATGACGGCAGCAGCCACGGCGCCGATGCCGATGACGGAGACGTAGGGAGGCGTGAGGAACTGCAGGGCGATGGGGAGGATGGACCCGGCCTGGTCGCGCTCGTAGGGCGTCGGCAGTCCGTAGCTGGTGGAGTTCCAGTCTGGGAGGAAGAGGAGGAGACGAAGGTTTGGGTTAAGGGATGTTTGAAAGACAGACGGAGGAATGAAAACCTGATTCAGAGCTTAAACCTGTCGGTAGGGTTAGGAAGACGTGTTGTCTTAAAAATAAAATAAAATAAAAAGTGAATAAATGACAAAATTATAAAAATAGAAGAAAAAAATGTTCAACTTTGTAAAAATTTCTTCTTTTATTTATTGTATGACCTCAGTTTCACCAAATCGAAGCATAAAATCAGGAGATTTTATCAGAATCATTTCATTCTCATTTCAATATTTGCAAAAATAGAGTGTGTGTATGAAACAGATCCTGTAAAAAAACTTCTGTAGCATCAGACTGAACGCTTTTCCACGTATGTGAGTCTACGGTGATAAAAACTGAAGTAAAAGAGAGTTGAAGGGTTAAAACATGTTCAAACTATGAACACGGAGAGCTCTCCAGAGGTGTAAGGTAAGAGGGCGAACCTGTAGAAGCAGCCACGGCTCCGATCAGCACCGACGGGATACCCAGCACCAGGCAGAAGGCCGAGGAGGCGAAGCAGGTCACCTGAGCCTGGGTGTAAGACGAGGCGGACAGGATTCTTTGGTAGAACGCCTGGTAGGCCAAGCCGCCCAGAGCCTGGCACAAACACACAGTCGGGACACGGAGACAGGAGTCAGTTTGTGCAGCTCGAGGAGAACAAACCTGTCATGACTGTGCTGCCGTTATGCTTGGCCGCCTGCTCGTCTAATGAGATAAGCCCGTTCGATTCAACAGCGGGGCTACGGTTGATTAACGGGCCGTAATGGCAGGAGGGCCGCGCATCACAACACGTAGCGCTCTGCTCGTCCTCATGTGGTCGTAGCCTCCCATTAAAGAGGAACAAACAGCTGAAAGAAGTTGAAACTGACAAAAGTAATAATAAATAAAAATTTAATGAACATCATGACGTTGCTTTTGAATCATGGTTCAACAGAAATATATTAAAAAAACAAAAACAAGCAGCAAACCAGCATGATGGGACCCGTAAACTAATAAACTAACCACTGCTCATCTGCAAAGTGCTCTACTTTGTCTGGGACAGTTTTTTTCTTTTTTTAAAAAATTATTCTTTTCAACGACAATTCAAAAGCAACGTCTTATTTCACTAAATCATAATTTAGCAAATTTTTATTTATTACTACTTTTGTCAGTTTCTCGCTATTTGAGTGACTGTTGTAAATTTTGCCTTTTCTTTACTGAATACATCTGAGGACGACTGCATGTTTCTGAAGCGCCGCCGCTGCGCTCACCAGCAGCATGAAGTCGTCGAACCACTTCCCGGCCTCGTCCAGCTCCACGGTGCCGACCCAGGGGGCCTGGAAGGTCTGGTTGTACGCCGTCAGGGAGATGTCCACAGAGTGAGGGTTGGTCAGCATGAAGGGGACACACACCCACTGGACACAAACACAAGGACACGGCCGACGTGAGTGTGGGTCCAGCACGGGAAGTTCTAATGAGCCGTACAGAATCCTGATGTCACCACGAGATCCGTTTTTAAGATCTGTTTTAATCAAATGATCTCTGATGTAGCTTTTATAAACTATAAATGGTTTAAGACATCTGGAAATTCAGTGACATCTGGGAAAACTTTGTTCTGCTGACGAGGATCATGTGACGTTATCGAAAACTTCCGTCAACTTCCCCAAAAGCTGCTGTCAGGTTCAACAGGCAGGTTATCTTTAAAATAAATTACACCATTTATCAGGACATTTAAATACAGGAATAAACTTCCTGGCGGTCAGTGAAGTACTCATCTGTGATGTGGCTACAAAATTACCTAAAATCATTATTATTGTAAAATCATTTTATTCTACACGTTTTATTGAAACATTTTCCAAAAATAAAAAGTTTGCATCGACCAAACTGTAAAAAAACTAAACATCTGTCTTTCTCAGCCGCCCGTGAAGCTGTGAGTGACTCAGGAAAATGTTTGCACACGAACAACTCCAATTATTTTTCTTCCATTTTTGAAAAACAGATCAATAACAGTCACGTGAGGGAACTTTTCTGCTGAACTGCAGGCGGTGCGTGAACGGAGCAGATACAAGAGAAGTATTGAAACAAAACATAAGCAGTAAATCATCTAAAGCATTTAAAGTTTTCCATTTCAGTGACTAAAAACATTCATGTGGCGTCGACATGGACATACGTGTATGGGCGTTAGCGGTTAGCTCGTTAGCCTCGTGTCAACTCGACCCGTCAGCGATCCTTTATGTCGCATAGAAACCTGCCGTGACCGGGTCACGTTAGCATATCGGAGATCTGATCGGTTGTGATGCCAACCGTCTTATTTACTTGTCTGGACGGCGGCCACTTTGAGCGCTTGGTAAAAGCAGCTTCACATAAACTAATGAAGGAGGAACATGTCGCTTTAATTCAGTGTAATCTGAGCGAACGAGCCACCTGTTGGACCGACACTTTATCCGTCTGTATTCTTTCATCCACTTCTGTCTTTTGTGCGGCCGAGTGAGTAACCCGATCGCGTACATGCTTGAATGATGTTAATCGCTCAACAGAAGAATGGGGCTCTGGAGGTCGCCGGCGGACATGTCGGTGGACGGTTACGCACCAGGCTGACGAAGATGAGGATGAGCTGGATGACATCTGTGTAGGCCACAGAGTAGAGCCCCCCCAGCAGTGTGTAGATGATGGCCACCACTGAGGAGATGATGATGGAGTAGACGTAGGACAGGTCCAGGATCACGCTCATAGTTCCACCTGGAACAACACGGCAGAGCGGTGAGCGCCGGCGGACTGACGCGTTCAAACTGTCCTACTGCAAGTCCGCTAACGTACAGTCGCTACGCTCACATGCAGCTAAGTTCTCAGTCTCTCCCTGGCTTGTAAATACTGTCTCTCTCACACAGACACACACATGTACATGCATCCAGTCTGTAATGAGAAGCTAAACGCTGTCTGGTTAAACTGGTCGTACACCGAAATGCAGCATTAACACTCGTTTGTAGTCATTTAAGTCAAAAAAAGGTAACGTTACACTTAAGCATGAGTGGCTACGGTTTAAACCTCTAAAAAAAAAGCATCCAAAAGCTTCTAGAAAGCGACAAGCCAACATAAAAGTGATGTAACAGAACCACAGAGAAACACATGACAGAAGCAGCCTATTGATTGTGACTCCAAAGTATTCCTTTAATCCGCCCTCACGGGTGAAGCTACCACCCGCTTAACGCTGACAGGTTTAATTAAAATCAAGAAAGGTAAAGAGAAGTGTCTTCGAGTAGTAAAAATAAAATAAGTAAATGTAAACAAGTGAATAATAATAATAAAAAAAAAAAAGACATCTTGTTACTCAAACAAGGCAAGCAAAACATCACTACCTTCACCGTCTCTTCTGCCACATTGCCAGGGTCCCCCCAGCCGCAGCCTGCAGCCACACCACAACAATGCCCTTAAACAGAGAAGTGTCAGATCGGCACCATCGATCGATCGCCACTCACCCCCCGCCCGCTGACCGCTAAGCCCACAACACCCCAACCTGCTGCCTCACCCTAACCCTACCGTCATGCATTGACACCGTTTCAGTTGGACCACTCCTGTCTAGAACCCTCTACGCTGGCATTAGTCAAACATTGTACAGAATGTTGTTTTCTTAAGACTTCTGTGTGTTTTACGTTGTTCAGAGAGCTCTAAGCTGTCCTAGTGTTCACACTTGGCACTGAGATGCATCTTGTCCACATTCATCAGTCACTCGGTCTGAGGTCATCAGTTTGTTTTGCGTTAATGAAACGTTGCACAGATGCACTCTGACGCCATGTGCGAACTGAAATCCATCTCCACTGCGACCTGGAGCCTCGCTGCCGTTTGTCCCGTAGCTTCTCGGGGGGGCGTGACGCAACATAATCGCTGCATCGTAAATAATTCCTGGGTGGTCTGTTTTCCAGATTTAGCCGCTCGATCTCTTATGTGTTCTGTGCTGAGCTGTGCTGTTCCACTGTGAGCTAAATTTAGAGGGAAGGGGAGGAAAGGTGGGCTTAATGGGCAGCGCCAGGGATGGACAGAGGCAAAGGAGCTGCCTAAATACCCAAATACCCTCCCTTGGTGTTGTTTTTAGATCCTTGTCCCACTTGCAAACCTCACGCACGCACAAACACACACATATTTCAAACCCTGTCTGCTCTTTGATTCCTTCCTGGCAGAAATCTGAGCGGGGACATGTGTTGCTGATGCGACGCTGCTAAGTGACGCCGCATTCAAAGTGTGTTTTTTACAGTTAAATCCTTCCTGGCATTGAACACACACACACACACACACACACACACACACACACACACACACACACACACACACGCACACAAAGCTCAGTTTATACTACACTTACATACACAAACAGTCTCCCGGCAACAACGCCCCGGCAGGTCGACTGCCCGGCTCTGGGGTGTCGAGTGTTTCTGAGCGATGCCGAGCGTACGTCAGGGATGTCTGTCCCCGGAAACAACGACGGGAGCTTTTACTGAGAAGCGAGGGGTCCCCTGATTCTATGTCAGCGGGAGACGTTTGGAGGAAAACGTCTGGGGAACGCTCCTGCCTCCTTATCGGCCCTTTCGTGGAGCACAGCGTGAAGTGACTGGATTTCACTGTTTAAACATCTGATTTTAGTTTTTTTAACACACAGGAATGAAATTATAAGTCATCATGTAACATCTAAACTCCTGTCAATCTGTAAAAGCCAAAAAAAAAAACAACAATCTAATCACACAGGTTTGAATAATTGATCACCTTTCACAATCAACAGGCTGCTCGATGTTTAACCCCCTTTTTCAAATAACACTGGAAAAGAAAACAACGTTAAAAACACACACATGAAAACATTATGTACACACACACACACCTCGTCTCTCCTTTGCAAACACCCACGCACACACGGCACACACTGCAGAGCACATGCACACTCGCTATCTACGCCCACTCGCGCACATTTAAAATCAAGAGCGGCATCAGTGTGACCCGACGTGGTAGCTGACATGGAAACGACAGAATCATAACACGGACCGGGCCGATAATTCACAAAGAGCCGCTTTAATCCTCAAATAAGTCGTCTCGTCATGTGGACAGTTTTCCGCACCGCTCGGTGGTCGTCCACGTTTATAGCAGTAACGCTAATCCACAGCCGCGAGGCCGTTATTTTTAGCGGCTGACCCTCATTGTGTGCCTGCGCTCAGGGTTTTCATTTCGTTTCACAGAAAGACAAGCTGGTGCGAATCCCTGAACGTCTCTGCGATAAGTTAGCTGACCGTTAGCTAAGTCGCGCTCCGTCTGCGGCGCTTAAGATGAATCACTTGGACATTACTGCGGAGGATTGGTGATTTTGGAACTAAATCGTCTTTGATTTCAAACGGGAGCAGACAAAAGCGTGGCCCGCATCCACAGCCGCCAAGATTTGATTATTGTAAATGTTGGCGGTGGGTTTTAATGAGCTATAGCGAGCTAACGGTTTGTTCTGGGTTGTTTTTAAACCAGATAAATTATGTTGTACCAAACTTTAAAGATTGACGTCAAACCTGACTTACAACTTTAGTTTAGTTTTTACCTCTAAACTCTGATTAAATTTCTTTAAACTGTTTTAAAATGTGATCCAGTATTAACTTTAAACTCACACTAAATGGCCGCTTTTTATTATCTTTGTCTTCAAAGATACGAACATTTACTGTTCGCATACTGCTGGTTAGAAGTCGTTAGTTCTCGGGTTACATAATCGTGATCATTCCAACTTAATCCTGCTTTTGCTTAGCTTACATAATTTGCTTTTGGGATGACGCAGTCTTTGGTAGTTTTACTGGGGTGGATGCAAACGTATCCAAATAAACGGAAGGACAAAGCTGCTAACATTCTCCCAAACGCTGACGCCAAGGTCGGGCTCACACACGACGGCGTAGGTGCTGGTTTTACATGTTTGTGTAATGATGTGGCTTCTGATGGAACGGTTGCTAGCTCCACATGCTAACAGTTGCTACTTATGCAACTGTTTAATTCATTATACTGACACCTGGCAAACGAGCTAGGCCTAATTATTTGTACGTTAGAAGAGCGGGTTAGCAAACGGTCAGCTGACTTTCTTTTACTGCTGCCGTTTAATTTCATATGTACTTCTTTGCTGTGTAAATATTTCTGTGCTAAAATAAAAGATCTGATGATGTTTTTGTCCTCCTGCCTCCTGTGAATACTCTGCAGCAGCGACCGAGTGCCCTGCTGCTTCTCTACTCTGCTGCTTGTGCACATTGTGTACCCTGATCTGCGGATGCCTGCATGACTGCATGAGTGCAAATTATAGTGCCGCTCGCTTTTACGGCGTGAAGCAACTCACCCAGGCTGACGAGCGTGCGTGCCACCCAGAGCACGTCGGCGACAAGCGCGGGCAAGATCAGCGCACTGCTCAGGACGTTCCCATACTTCTGCTGGAAGGGGTCCATCATTGTCACGTACTTGTTCTCTCGCATCGGCTTGGCAAAGAAAAAGCCACCTGCGGGGGGGACGGAGCAGCTGTCAGTGTTAAAGCACGGCCATATTTCTTTCATTCAGAAAGCCCAGGTGAGACGGAGGGAGGAAGCCGGAGAGTGAAGGAGCGAGTGTGTGCGAACAGTCAGGAAAACGAGTGTTCCCTGCAGATAAACACCTGCAGCTGAGCGCATGGGCCCGCTCGCTCAACAATGGACCAGAACAGAACGGGGAATGTTATATTTCCTGACCGGAGCGTGGGGTTTCCGGTTCCCGTCACTCTGACACCGCGGCGGCTATCGGGGGGCCGCGGGGGGCACCGAGTGCCGATGATTTCACCTGTTGCGAGTGTTTACTGACGACCCACCGAGTTTGTCAGTTTGGTGAATTTAGGAGAAGCAATCTAAGCCTCTGGGTTAACTTGACCGTCTGCACCTGTTGCCTCGAGTTACAATCCTAAACTGATTTCTCATGGCGCTATTTTTAACGTGAGCGACACTTTTATTGGTGTGGGGCGTCGGGTGGGGGATGGGGGTAAGAGAGCTGCACCGGTGGTCAACAACACTTCGGCGAGGGAACGGAGACAGCAGTGCTCATTTTAATATCGTATGCTGCAACAGCTTTGGGAAGCTTTCTGATGTTGTTTTGCACTCAAACAGTGTAGAGCGCCTGTAAACCGTGTTCAGCTCAGTTGGAAGCTTTTCAGCAACGAATCATGGTTGATTGTCGAAGTCATGTCGATTGATTAAAACTATAAAATGCCAAATATTGCAGCCAGTTGGTGCTTGTAGCTACACAATTAAGAAAAAAAGAGACTCTGTCAAAGGATTATTGAAAAGCACAAGTCAGGGGATGATACAAGAACTTTTCCACGTCACTAAATATCCCTTAGAGTACAATTAGATCCATTATTAGGAAATTAAAGGAATGTGGCATGTTTGTAAATCTGTCTAGAGGTTCGTGAGGGAGGCCACCAAGACAAGTACGACTCCTCTGAAGGAGTTACAAGCCTCATATAAATGCAAATTGTCCGGTTACTCTAACAGTCAAAACTTTATTGAGTGTTGGCAAAGAGAAAGCCACTGTTAACGAGGGAGGCTCTGAATCATCAGACTAGATGCGACGTTTGGCGGATACTGAACACTGCACATCATCACAAACGCATCATCCCCTGCTGTGAAGCATGGCGGTGGCAGCATCATCTCCCAGCAGTAAACCCTGGAAGGCTTGTAAAAGGTGTAAAGTATGACGATATCATGGAGCAGAAAGAGGCTAATGTCTGGGCTACCAGGACACCTATTTTACTTTTTAGATTTTAACTATTTGACAGCACTTTACAGAAATCTGTTTTCAGAAAAGTCTCATTAAACTGACCTTGATTCGATGTTGAAAAGCAATAAAAAGGGGGATAAACACCTTTTATAGGTGAAATAATCGTTCATATACGTGCTGTTGACAAGTTGTTAAGCCAATACTCAGGTCATATTATCCACTTTTATTAGCTGCTGCGTTTAAAAATAAAGCTCACAGTATATGTCGAATGCTGACATAAGCCAGTCCTGACCTCGCAACCTTTGATTAGAAAAAAAAGATGCGACAGAACAAAGCTGCCAACAACTAACGTTACGGCATTCGCTGCTGCTTGCCAGAGTTCGGCTCAGACTCTGCATGCATGAGTGATGCGCGTTGTGAACGAGAATATCTACTGTCAGGCTGCTTTTGTGTCAACTGAAACGTTTAATCTCGCAATTCAAGGACGGCATTAAATCAGTTTCACCGCCGCTGCTGCTTTCAGTTCAATCAGTTATCTTCATCAACCCAGATGTGTACATATGGGGGGGTTATTTGCACCATATGCCAGGAAATATGAGCCAGAGGGTGTTTTTTTATCCATCGAGTTGTTTTTTTTTTCTATCTGAACTACGGTGATTGTGTGTTGAGCTCTGAAGCTGCAGCTGGTTATCTAACTAGGGGTCGACCTGTTATCAGTTTGATCGATTATCAGGTCCAATAATCAGCGTTTAGCAAATTGACAGAATCATTATTGTCTAAAAACTGATTTCTGACACATTAAGGTGATTTAAAATGAGCTGCTTTGGCTCTGATGCAGTTGCCTCTGTAGTCATTCAATGGTCTAATTGAGTAACAGCAAATCAAGTTTTGTGTTTGACTTTGTGCTCTTTTGATCTTTGACACCAGGTTTTAATTTTTTACTGTAAATGTTCACCATTTCAAGTTATTGGTCTCCTTGATTACCAATAATCAGCCCTAATAAACAACATTAGTCGACCCCTACTGCTCACGTGCGTCTCATTCCTGCTCAGTTTGATGACCAATAATAACTCCTTAAACTCCTCCTTAAAACTCCTTCAACTCTCTCAGCTCCCTACGCCACATAATTAGTTCACTTTTAAATCAATTTTGCGTCCCCCTCCGTGTCGCCACCCCCCGAGGTGTGGCTTCTATCGGATGCTACTCACCTAAGAAGAAGGTCAGGACGTAAGGCACGGGCATGAGCGCCCACACTGCGCCCAGCGTCGGGTTGTACGTCGCCTCAGCTATACCGAGGATGAAGCCTCCGCCCACCCACGTAGCTGCGGAGAAGGAAGCCCACGTTTAAACCAGAAACATGCGGTGATGCATACACAACAACCACATTGAACACGTTGCCGCGCTGCTTTACCAGTGAGAGTGAAGATGCCGACCAGCAGGTTGATGTTGCGTCCGGCCAGCAGCGTTATCTCCATGCCGTCCCCTGTGCATTTCTTCTCCTCCTTCTTGGAGCGCATGGACGCCCAGATGCCCGTGCCCAAGATGAGCAGGTAGAACCCCGCCATCACCACCAGACCCGGCACGTTCAGAGCCATCCTCAGCTACTTCTGCGTGCGTTTCCTGCCAAGAGGAGACAGGACGAAGAAACGTGAGGATCTGAGCTGCTAAGTGCTGAAAGTAGAAATGTGCAGATGCTGTTTGTGCTAATGCAAACAAACTCACATTAACAGCATGTTCTCAATAATTTCTTGAGTAAATAAATATTTGTAGGTCTGCAGGGCAAAGGTGGGGGGTGGGGGGGATGCAACACATTCATGAAGTGGCATCTAAGATGATTCTGACATAAATTAATTCATAATGTGTACGAAGCTAACAAGCGCAAATGATGAACACTAAACAGGAAACAGAAGCTTTCACATCAATAAAAAAAAGGAGGGTGAGCGAGATGGAGAAGGAACTCGAAAATCAAAAACAAAGACAAGAGCAGCGACATTTCCGATGGCCTGGCTCTGCTTGCTGGGCAGATGGAGGATAGGAGGAGGCAAGGTGGGGTGAAGGAGGGCAAACAACAAAGAGGCGAAAGGTGGAGGGATGAAGAGTCGAAAGGGGGTCTCACCATCAAACTTGGCGGCACTGACCAAGATGGCGGACAGATGTTGTCCCCCGTCTTCAGTGGTCGGGCGGCCCGAGTTCCGACCCCAAACATCGGGAAGTGAACACAACTCAAAGCCACGTTAGTACGTACAAGTGTGTGTGTGTCAGATGGCTTCTAAAAAAGATGAGAAAAGCCTCTGCATCTATAAAAACTAAGCGTTAATCTGTAACTGCAGCTTTGCACCTACTTGCTGCCGCCGCTCGTGGCTAAAGCTGACCGTACGGCATCAACCGTGTTAATGCAGGTCAGGAGGAGCGAGAAACTTTCCATCTGTGGTTTATTAGAAAAACGCTTCTTTATTATAGACCCATTTACCATAAACAACATGGTTTAAACAAAAACAACACTCTGTGTGTGTGTGAAAACCACATTTGTTTTACAGAGAAGCTTTGGCTCAAACCATAAAACTTGAGGAAGAAAGGATGCATGTATATCCACCCGGGAGAGCAGCAAGAGCAAAGAAAAGGAAATGTTTGTGAAAGGAATGGGCTGAAAAATATGGCTGGGAGACCAACGTATGTGTGTGTGTGTGTGTGTGTGTCTGTGTGTGTTTATGTGAAGGCATGGAAGGAATGGGTGAGGGGTGAGGGGAGGGGGGGGAGAGTGGCTCGGCGCCAAAGTCAACAAAAGCCTCCAAAGCTGGCTCACGTGGCCCGTATGTTTTGGTGTGTTTAGAAGTGTGAGTTTGTTGCAGTGTGTGCATGCCAGACATCGCTGAGCTCAACCTGCATGTTAGATTCTAGCGTTGATGGTTTCTGACCCATATAGGCTCACAGAAAACCGCAAACGTGTGTGTTGTGGACGTCCTACGCCACTGTAACGCTGCAGTTAGGAGCCGGTTTGCAGGAATTCCTGCAGCAAATACGCATAATTGAGACAGATTTGAATGAGCTATTACACTGAGAGGTATAAAATCTGCCTCTCAGTTGGACTGGCAGCACAAGAAACCCATTCATGCTACGAATAAACAACCGCGGAGGTTGTTGCCCCACCAGTGCTAGCTCCACTCGGCTATCGGTGCAGTTTTATTTGTGCTACTTCCATAATGAAATGCGTTTGCTTACGAATGTTTGGAGCTTTTTCAAGGGCTTATAAAAAAAAATCTTTATTGGGCTTTATGTAACCGCACGGGTGGGAGAATTCTCTGGGGGCAGCTGGTATTTTTTGTCAGCTTGTAAAAGCAAAAGAACATTAGAGGCTGAATCGTAGAGGACATCGTGGCCCAGCCCGAGGAATCTCCGAGGCCTTTGCTGCTGAGATATTTGCCCTTCAGTGGGCAGACTGAATTTATAGACAGCACACATCACCCGTAATTGTCGCGTGATGTTTCCTTGACATGCAAACAGACTTATAGCTGCTAACATGTTGTTTTGCTCGCACGTAGTTCTATTTGTGCTTATAGCGGCCGCTAAACACATGTAGCTGGATGGCTAACCTTGAGCTTGTGCCTTTCTTTACCACCTCTGGCTATTTGGTGCTCTTTTACACAACTTTTGCTTCTGGAAATGAGCCATAGCAGCAAAAATTATGAGCTAAAAGAGGCTAAAGCACCATGTTGGGTGATAATTCACTGTGCGTGGGTCGCTGACAGCAGCATGTTAGGCATTAACAGCAATAGCTTCATTCGCTGCTAATGTAAAAAGCTGATTTGTGAAGGTGTGTATGAGCTAATGTCAGTTACTTTCCACCTCAGCGTGCTTTCCCAGTTCTTGTCACAGTCCAGACTATTTCAGCGGGGCCCCCTCTCCTCGCTTTAACAGTATGCAAGACATTTCACAGACCGGCGAGAGGCCTGGAGTCCCTCTATAGGGATATACGGGCCTATTGACCTATTTCTGAGCTGAAAAAAAAGACTTTCTTTGCCCTCTTTTTTCCTGCATAAGGACCTGGCCGGCGATCATCTGCCTGTCCTCGGTCAGACCGCGAGTTCTCGTGTTACCGGTCCGCGGTCCAAGTGCAACAGGGGAAAACACAGCATTTCAAGTATTTAAAACCGAATCAGTCACACTTCATCCGCCTCGTCAAAGCCATTTTTTTATGCGGCAACTGAAGGTCTGGTTTCAATACGAGGTCAATTCATCCCACATTCGCATCCAGATCAGGGAAACGGCGCACTGAAGGGACGCCAAGTCGAAGCTGGAGGCGACTTCGAATCAGGCAACGAAACTCAGCGCGGCTCAGTTATAGAAGGACCCATAAAACCTGACGGGCTTTCCTTTTAAAGAAACAGCTCTGATGTCCAGTCACGATTAAAACTGAAATAACACACGTAATCAAATAAATGAGTGCATCCCGTTGCCCCAAACATCACATCATGCTCCTATTTTTACCGTCTGTATCCACACTCAGACCACGTAGGCATGAATACGGGGTTTCTCCTTAATGCGCTGCGATAATTTACTGACTGTCACCTACTTTACGGCCCCCGTTAGTCTCAGAATAATGGAGCTGAACCACGTTTTTGCTGCAAGTTTAATTTCAGATTTCAATCTCAAGAGCCAGTCCGCTGAAAACAACCCTTTTTTTTATCTGCTGGAGCTGCAATATTCAAATTCAAAATCATTTTAAGGCATGAAGGGATTATTTTAATGTAAATACGTCATTGTGATACACTGACATGAGTTTTTAGGGGTTTAATGAATGTCTAGCGAGGGCGTGAACACATCGGTGCAGCTATATCCATAACGTTTTTCTAAATACAGCCTGCTGAGAAGCAAAAACCGATGTGCAGAAAATGACTGACATTGTGTACGTTTCCTCCAGCTGTTTTTATACAGTCGAACGGCAACAACCCTCCTGATAATGCAGCTAGATGGCTGTCGGCTCAGGATCTCGTTTGACGGGTCCGATGACATTAACACTATTTGCATTTTATACATTGAAGATGAAGATTGATGTGTGCAGCAGCCATGTGATGTGATTCGCTGTGTTTCAATATAACTGCCAAGCAAGCAAGTTTGCATCAACCAGCATGAAAACATTCTCTTTGAATTTTTCGATTTCTATTAACTTTTTCCAATGCAACACTTTAAAATGTGCATCATAAAGTCAGAGAAGCACATTCATCTGTTTGTGAACCACACCACAAAAGCTGCAGTTCAAGTAAAAGCTCTGAGTGTCTGCAAAGATGATTCGTCTCTTTCCTGACAATAAAGTCAGCCCTGGGTTTCACTTCACCTCTGGCTGAACAGAACCTGACGTCAACTAAACGTCACATCTCACCTGAGCAGAATCAAAACGATGCTTGTTCCTATAAAACCCACGCCCGCTTCAGTGTTTGACAGAGAACCAAAGAGGCTGTGGCTTTATTTACATCAACCGCCGCATCCGAAAAGTCACAAACTTGCTGGAGGTCACTGGACTTCTCCCCACCTCCTGGAGGTCTACCGAGACGAGCTGTGTGAAGCTAAACCAAAGCGTTTATCTCTCAAACCCCGTCTCCGTTTCCCCGCCTTATCAAACCCGCACACAGAACATCTGTAATAACGCCTGGCACGCTGACAAAGCCTCCAAATTAATCTCAGCCGTAATCATTTCCTACAAGTGTCACTTGTGCAGTTTGCTGACTCAGCACCTGGTAACTTTCCACTGCTCGGTTGTGAACGCAGAGCAGCAGCACGAAGCCGCCGGCGTTCAGGATTAAATTCATATTGGAGTTACACATTATGTCACCTGCTCATCATCTCTCATTCCTGGAGGCAGCTCTTTATCGGCTGTGGTATGAAACGGTTTCGCTGTGTAATGGTTTGGTTTTTTTTCTTCTTTGCGGTTCACACACAAAAAAATCCCTTTGAGTGTGTAAACCACAAACAAGAAGAAGAAAAAACGATCCTATTCATAAGGAAAGGTCACCTAAAAACCCCCAGAGCTTCTTACAGGAACAACAGCCACACTGAGGGAGAACTGCTGAAGTCATTTTGACAATTTGTAGGCTGTAAAATCAGGAGCAGAATTCAGCTTTCACCGTAATTAGTGAATCAGGTCGTTAATTATGATCAACGAGTCCTTCAAAGTCGCCGGTGTCTCGTTTGTCTGATTGAGATTTCTGAGAACGAACAAACTGAGGTAGATTTTATTCCATGATTTGATCTCGCCGAACTTTGACAATCTGGTTTTACTCGCCGTGCACCTGACACCTGGAACAAAACACTGAACCATCAATAATCCGACTCACTTCATCCCGGGGCCATTTTACATGTTTAAATTAAAACCCTGATTTTGCCTCTTAATGCTTTTGTCATTTTAATCCAACCTGTGCGCCTGCATTCTGTATTCTCTTATATTGAAGGCTAAATGAATGAATGAATGAATGAATGATGACATCCAGTGATGTTCGCCGTACAGCCAACGAAGGCTGCTGTGGATTTTCTTTAACAAATAGCTTTTTAAAAACTACTTCATGTGCACTAAAATGTGTTTATCCATCATCCTCTCACTGCTCCTTGCAAATATTTTAAATCTCTAATATTCTGTCAAACATCTGAAGCCACCGGGTTTCGCCGTGATGCCGTAAACAATATGCATTGGGTTTCCCACACAACACCAGCTGAGCGTATTCAGGGCTGACAGTAAACGTGCTGCGGGTTTGAATTAATGAGTTCACCTGTCGGAGAGCAGGTACAGAACAGGTCGCCCCTTCGATTAGAGTATCCGAGGACATGTGTTCCCTCCTCAGCCCTCCGTATGGTTTTCTCTTTCACACAGGTGCAGGGACACGTCTTGGCGCCGCTGCAGCAGCTTTCTATGAATATTTCCCCCCCGTCACCTCGCCTCCCTGCCTCTCAGTACTTTTCCGTGCGTTTGCCTCCTCTCCATCTCCACCCCTTTGCTATTTTGTGATGTGGAGACGGAGTGTTCGCGAATGTCATCATCCGCTATTAGTGGGTGACTTTCATTAGAAGCCTGTGCGGGGAGAGGTGGAAGACGAGAGCCAACAGAGCCTCTCCTCCTCGGTGTAAACACTCAGATCCAGTCTCAGTGAATGCCACATTGCTCACTTTGATGCCGTATGCGCTGCACAATCAGCATGTTGTCACCTACACTGTCTGTGCATCCAGAGCTGAACACACTGCAGCTTTAGATTAAAAAAAATAAAGTTGCACAAGCAGCGGATTAGAGGAGCACCTTGAAATAGAGACGCACTTCCACTGCTGTGTCTGTGGCAAGCTGCTCATTCAGAAAAAGAAGAAGGTGGTGCGTGGGTCAAAGATCAAAAAGCCTGAAACTGAAGCTAATCTCTGTCTCGCTCAGGCTTTAGTGATGAGAAGGTGAAGCTGGGCGAGTCCGCCCGCTGGGAGGATGACTTGGATTAAGAGACATGGGAACAATCTGAATGATTAAGAGGCAGAGAGGAGGGAAATGCAGGGTGACAGCAAGGAGCGCAGACAAAATTACTTAATGTGGAGAGGACTGCCAAGAGATAACGCAATGCAACAAAACAAAAAACGGCCTTTCAGTGGGCGCGCTGCTCTAAATAAATGACAACATTCACTCTGTGCATCCTCAAACATATCATTCAGTTAGTGCCAACCACAAATCTCACTTTTTAAATCACACATTACTTCCTCAAAACACAATATTAGCATTCAAATTAAAATGCTCATTGCTCCACAGTCGCACCGAGCTCAGTGGAAAATTACCGCTGATCAGAACCGCTGACAGAAAGGATACAGACAAACAAAGATAGGCAGCTGGAGTCACAGAAGACAAACCACAAGAGCTGATTTGGCTTCGCGGCAGTGCCCCTCTGGGCTATTTCTAGGATAGGTATGCACTCTCTCTTATGAGTGTCCCAACCTGACCTAGTTCTGTTCACGTATAATCTGTTTATGCACATGTATGTATAAGAACACGGTAACACAGAGCAGAACACCTGAGCGCAGGAGGCGAGCGTGCTGGATGGCTGCATACATACCTGGAGTGAACCGTACGTGTCTGTGGTGATGTGAAGACAGACAGAAGCTATTCTCACAGGACAGGTGATAGGTTCAGTCCAGATAACGGTTCACAGTCATCCACGGTGTCGGGGAGGGAGAGGTGGCCAACAGGTTGAAGGCAACACACACAAAAAAGCAGCAACAGGTGGTGCTTCAGTCTCTGTGATTTGAGAGGGTTGAATTTAAAAAAAATGAAACAAACTGTAGAGTTTTTTTTTTGCTCTGCAGAGAAGAGTCAGGGTTGATGTTCAAAGCTCATGAGGCAGGTTCAATGAGGAAGGATGGACGTCTCTAGAATCAACAGAGAGCCCTCCTCTGGTTTTAAAGCTCAGCGGGTGGGAGGGGTCACACGGTATACAAAGAGAGGGAAGCTGCCACTGCTGCCACCTCATTGGTGACTGCCTGGGTGTTCTTCGCTTCAGCCAATTAGCTGTTTTCATAGCGCAGGAGGCAGGGCCGGCCCCCGTCGCTGCACCCATCCACATGAGGATGGCTCTGAGTGGAGGGTGGCCCTGGCACCTCCGGCTGCTCAGCGCCAGCTCATTACCAGCCCTCTCTGGGCTTTTTCACTCCTTAACTCCCCAGTGCCCTGACTGTTTGTCACTCCCTTCTGCAGCTTCTTTAAAAAAAACCTGTCGTCTCAAAAATGATCCGGCACCTACCTGTTGGGTTTCACAGCGACTGATGTAACCCACAACACACAGAGAAAACATCTCCTTCCCCATGTTTCTGTTCCCTCCTCGGTTTTACTGCTGTGTGCTCATGTGTGAGTGGGCGCAGACGTCCACAAAGCTCTGCTTGTTCTGTCCACGCTTCGGGTTTAGTGTATCCACTGTTTACAGCGACGAGGCGGACAGAAGCTACACAGGCACGAGATTCTGATTAAAAATAGAAATAAAAGAGCCGTGCTTGTGTTTTGCGGAGGAGCGCCAGTCGGTTATTGGTCAGAGAGAGTCTCAGGTCAAACAGTTTTCAGACAGTTTTCAAATATTCTCACACCGGTGGAGAAACCGTTCAACAAACCGGCATGTGTGTGAGCTCCTGACGCCTTCACAGGCCTCCGGGCGGCTCGTCGTTCAGCCGCCAAGCGCCTCAACAGAGATATTCACCTCATTAAACAAAGACAAAATAAAACTTTTACAGCTAGCTGTCAGAAAAAAGCCCAAATTGTAAATGACGTCCACATCAAAATCTGTGTTTGTACAAATAGATTCCCTGATTTGATTCCCTGAACGATGATAGCTAGCAAATACAGAAATAAAGAGTATTAAATTACACAATGAACATCAAAAACAGGGCAAAACTGTAAATAACGTCAACATCAAAACTTGTATTGATACAAAAGAAACAAACTTACACTATTTTTTTATACTGAATTTAAATTGGCAAAACATATGAAAAAAAAATACTTTATTCATCCCAGAATGGAAATTCAATAACATATAATATATATATATATATATATATATAATATCACAGTTTGACAGATATTTGCTGTTAATTGAAAGACAAAATTGTAATTTTAGCATTAAAAATGGTAACTAAGTATTTTTTAAAAAAACAATTCAGTGTAATTCTTATAAAATTTTCCCTGTTTTGTTAATCATAGATATCGTCTAGTAAAATCTGAGAAAAAAAAAGAGTAAGAATTTACACATTTAAATCCACTAAAAGCAGAATTATTTTGAAATATTTGCTATTACTTTCACAGTTTTTAGAGTTTTTGAAGGTTACAGTAGTCTACATTTATTTTATGGATTTTTTCTGGCAACTTATCTAGCAGATTTATTCTTTTTTACATGATTTGTTTTATTTACAGAGCATTTACAGGGGATCATTTTACCACTTTGCAGAGAAATATAAGTCTAATCACATCAGTGTCAGTAAAAGGTGGCAGACAGAAGACTTTCAGCCAGTTGACGTCACGATATTACGTTTGTGACGACATAATAACAATTAGGGATGCACAATATTGGAAAAAACTGACCCTGTGCTATCGCGTACATGATGTGATATGAAAATTACAGACATGTTCATCAGATAAAAAACTAAAGCAGTCATGGTAGAATGAGTCGGGGGACTTTGTAAGGGAGTGTACCTGCATTAGAAATAAAATAAATCATCTCAACAAAAGCTGTTTGTTTCTGATGGGGTGTAACACTGATAAACGCATCTAAAACTGGTTAACCCTGCTAACCCTAACCCTAACCCTAATCGTTGGTTGTGTTGCCTCATGTGGCGGCGACGATTGCGAGACGTTGCAGACAAAGTCCGTGTTTTTGGTCAACGAAACATTTCCACACCGCCATTGTTGCGTTTCAATTTCACAAACAACTCTTCCTCTCCTGTTCTTTGCTCATTTTGTTGAGCTCACATGGAGCCTGCACGTCAATAAACTCTGTGTTTTGTTAATTAAAGCAAAAATCTATCGATCGCTCTTGTAGATTAGTTATGGAAAAACGCTGCTAATGTTGGAGGCGGTGAAAGCTCCACGGTGGAGGTTCTGGGTCACCGATCAGTACCTCTGGGCCTTTCATCCCATCTGTTCCTGGGGTACCTCATCAAGGCCGATCCTGTGCTCTGGGCTCAACTTGCTAACAAGCCGGGACAGACGAGAAACAGAACTTCAATGTTTTAATGGACTTGAGAAAAATAAAGGCTTGTTTTTCTTGGTTTCTTTTTCTATAAAGAAGCAAAAAAAGCTGGTGCAATGCTGACCCTGCATTAGTATATTTAGCATTAAACTCTTAAAACGAGTTAAAGTGTCTGCTACAGGCCATTCACGAACACAGCAACGAGCGACAACATTAACACTGCAGATGGGTGAAGTGAAGGACATCGATTGTGACGTTACGGCGCAAACTGCTGCTGCTAAGCGTTCGATTCTGGCGTTTATGGCACCTGAGACCTACCTACACACTGCTGCAGACGACAGACACCCCTCCCCGATAGCCGTGGCCTCCCTGAGCAGGAAAATACGCTGCGAAAATCGCTCCAGAACGACACAACAAGGAGCCCCAAGCATTGGCCCAATCTGATCTGGCCTCAAAATGCAACCCACCGGACCAAAAAGGATCTAACATTACCGGTACCTGACACCACGAGGCACCCTTAGAGGTCCATTTCCCAACAGCTCAAAGCCATTTTGGCGGCATGAGGGGGACCTGCATGAGATCAGGCATCAGCGTATGTGCTCGAAAGTTTTTCAATTTAATAAAAACGTGACGGTCGACTGCTTTCATACCGAGAGAAAGTGAAAATTAAGAGTTGTTTACGAGCTACTCCATCAGTTCTAGGAAGGAACGTGACCAACAATCGCTCTGTAATAAAACCAGACAACAATGCGTTTAGAAAAACACTATGCAACAGGAAATAAGACACTTCATTCATCAGCCCAACACGACACAGAGCTTTACCCAGAGCACTGCTGTGTCGGTTTGATGGTAGAAATATATGATCGAGCTGGAAATTCATGAATAATAAAGATATAAGAGAGTGCTGCTCTCCTGTCAGAGGCTAAATGATGGATACCTAACTGCTAACGTGTACTTCTACACAGCAGTATGCAGCCTACAGGTTAAAATACAGGATGAAGGCGTATTTTAAAGGTTTTTTAAGAAGATTTTAATGCATAATCATCCTCTGTGTTTTATAAAATGGTGGCCCCGCATGACAAAGACTCTGCACATTACATTATAACCCATTATAGCTCTAGTCAGACTGTATTCACAGCAATAAGTGCTGGAAATGTAAGAGCCCTACTTTTCTGTTTTTCCCCATTTTGGCCCCATTTTGTTGGGGCAATTTAGCAGCGGTTGGAGGAGCCTTCGCCAAGCCTGCCACGCTTATGCCCTTTTAGACAAATCTGCTCTTCCAGCTGGACTTACAGTTCGGGTTGCAGGCCTCCGCAACGCAGCCAGGATTGTACTGAAGGAGCTGGAAAAATACAAGCGCACCTTGTTTTTAGGGAGTGGACTGGGCCGATGGAGGGAGGCTGCAGCGTCCCGGGAGCTAATGAGAGCAAAACTAAAAGGCTTCTGTGTTTACATGAACTGAAATGTGGGGACGTTTGCTCAGCGTTACTAACGGCGAGGATTATTATTTACAGTGGGGATTATTAGATGTAACAGAGCTTCATCATGCAGGTCGCTGTATGCTGTGAGGAAGAGGAGACGCTGTGACCTGCTGCTGAGGTTGTTTCTGGTGTGTTTGTGTGTTTTTTACCTAAACAACACAAATAAAGTGTAAAACAACACAGGCTATAAGCTGTGGAGGTTGTGTACATAACAAAAATCAAAATGACAGGATGCAAAATGAGCTTTAATTCAGCTTTTGCCCAAAGCGACGCACAAAGGAGTAACAGGTAAACTCTGATGCTGAATGAAGCCCATTTCAGACAGACCTGTTTCTTTGCACTTATACTGTAAATGCTGCTATTTATTGCTCTTACTCTTAATTTTATTGCTCTAGCTGATTTCTTTTATTTCTTACACAGAGAGCTAAGAGTTTGCATGTACAAACTTGGCCAATAAAGTTGATTTTGCTCTGGACTAGACTGTCTCAGGAAGGCTAAAGGTTCCTTAAAAGACAACTTCTGATGCAAAAAAAAAAAAAAAGAATGTAAAAATCTAATATTTTTTTTGCACTTTTACAAGCAGGGCAGCTAGTTTCAGCATTAAAAGCTAAGCTGACATGTGTCACATCGTTTTACATCAATAAAATATGACAAAAAATGAGAATAAGTGGTTTAGCGCTGCGAGCTAAATTCCCCTTAACTTTTCCCCTTAACTGCAGACGCTAGCTTTAGCTTCGTATAGCAGCGGCTAATTCAGGAGCTAATTCACTAAAAACACAGTTTACTGTCCGGGTGTAGCTTACAAAAAGGCGCTAAAAAAGTTGTATAACATCACTACACGGTTGTGTATCAGTGTTTCTGACAGCGACGTGGAAGATAAACGACTGAAAGTAACGTCCACGGCAACATAAACGTCGCCGGTGTAGCATTAGCCGCGTTAGCTTGACGTTAGCTTAACGTTAGCTTACCCGCCACCTGCCGCAGCGTCCGTGAAGTTGGTCTCCGCCGTTTGGGTGCCGTTTGTTGTCCAATTTCCTCCATTAATCCCGTTTTTAAAAAACCCAAGAACCGATGACACTAACACAGCTACTCACCTCAAAGTGCTTCTGATTAACAACTGATCAATTCACTGAAGCGGAGCTGCAGTGTAACCATGGCAACTGTACACAGAAATATATATTTTTAAAAATATATGAAAATTAGAAATGCAAAAATGAAAACTTAAAGGAACTTAAAGGAAGGAATTATACATCAATTTGAGCCTTTTCTGCATCAGTTAACAGTGAACATGTAT